TGTTCTGCTCCTTTTAGCTTTTTCTGTTCTGCTCCTTTTAGCTTTTTCTGTTCTGCTTTTTTCCTTTTCCTTGTTTTGCCCATTTTAGCTTCTGTTAGTTTTAAATTTTACTCTGTTTTAGCTACTTCAGCTAATTTTAGCAAAGCCTTTCATTTAAAGCTCCAACGGCGCTGAGTTTAAGCTGCGGAGCCTCTTGAACCAGTTTGTTTCTGCGTGTTCAGATTACGTGTCCGTCCCAGTTCGGGTTCTGGTGAACGGAACCATCGTGCTGACATCAGGGGAGTACCAGTTCTACAACTGTGCTGCTGCCGTCAGGAGGAACGAAAACACACCGTGAGCTGAACCCTGCACACACACACCACACACACACGCGTACACACACACACACACACACACACACGTACACACACACAGGTTCTGGCAGAAGCAGGAAGTGCGGACGTGTCATCGTTGTGTTTCCAGGTGCATTTCCTGTGTGAACAGTCGTTGGGGCTGTCAGTGGGACGCTCAGGATCACGTCTGCAGCGACGTGAACGATGCTGCGGCGGGAGAACATGTAATCAAACCTCAGCAGGTAGTTCTGAAGGGCTGATCCAAAACGAGGCGTTCTGTTCTGGTACCAGAGTCCTGATTAAAAGTTCTGATGCGTGTGAGCTCACCTGACCCGCTGTTGTTTCTTCTGCTGGTCAAGCCCGAGAACTGTCCTCAGTTTGGGTCTCCGGAGCCGCAGCTGATCCCAGTTGGCGTCAGGATCCCCATCAGGTTCCAGGGACAGAACCTGGAGATCTACAAGGTGACGAAGGCCCGGCTGACCCTCCTCATCCTCAGCTGCTTCTGCCGGTCTGTAACTTTGTCCCGTCTGTCTCCAGGGCCAGAGGTTCTCCATCGGGACGGATCTGATGAAGTCGACGGAGAAGGAGGTGACGCAGGTGGACGCTTCCGAGTTCGAGTTCCCCGGCTTTGAGGTGAGCAGCTCAACGAGTGTTCAGCTGTCATGGAGATCATTTTAGCTGTTTTTACTGAAACTGAACAAAATAATTTGTTTTCAGCTTAGAGCTGTTTGAAACAGCTACAGAAGAAGCTTAAACTGAGCGACAGTTACAGCTAAATGAAGCAAACATTAAATAAAAGGTTAAAAATACTAAAACCAAAAGTAGCGGAGCTGAAACCTAAAAACAAAAACTGAAAGCCACTAGCTAAAAGACAAATGTAGCAAAAGGCTATTCTAGATAATAAATATAGCTAGTTCTATCTGAAAAGTACAGAACAGTTCATTTATTTCTACAATACGAAGTCGCAACAGAAGTCGTCTCAGTTCACTGAACAGAAACATTCATATATAAAAATAATAACACACTATCTGAAAACCACTAGCTAAAAGCCAAATGTAGCAAAAATGTTTGCAGCTAAACAGCAGCAAGAAGCTAAAAAAGCTAAAAAAGTTAGTTTTATTAAAACTCATCCTGTGCTTCATGAGATATTTTGCTAACAGAGTTGACTAAATGTCTTAGGCAGTCTGTTAGCACTCAGGCTGTGTGTTTGGGATCAGTCTCAGCTACTTGTCCATCCGTATTAGTTTTAGATCGGTGTTTATTTTCAGAGAATTTCAACAAATCCACAGGTTCATGAGATATTTTGCTAACAGACACACTCAGACGATCCGACAGGAAAAAGTCTTGTGGAGGAAATGAACACAGAGCCTGGAGTCCATTCTTACCCGTCTGTCTGTCTGTCTGTCTGTCTGTCTGTCTGTCTGTCTGTCTGTCTGTCTGTCTGTCTGTCTGTC